GGTCGAGATTTGCACAAGTCCACGTCAATGTGGCACGACGAACGGCGACCCTTGAACAATGCCTCTTCCTCTCCAGAAATTTCTTCAACTGCTAAAACTTCTACAGGCACTTCTTCCTCTTTCGGCTTCGTTCGAGGCAGTATGCTTATGTCAATCGATGCCCTGTCTTTTCCCAGTTCGTTGGCTATCTCAAACTTGTATGAGCCGGAATCTCGTTCGACAGCGTTCGAAATCAACAGTGTCGCCGACGACTCAGTTTGCGTGTAAGCAACCCGTTCAGACGGCACGATTGGTGTTTTCTCCTTTGACCAGCACACCTCCGCGGACGGCTTTCCTTTGAAGTTGTACGATATTTCGACTGTCTCCCCTTCGGTAAACGTCATGCATTCCTCAGCTTCCTCCAAGGCGGCGATCGTAGCCGGCACTGAAACGAATTATTATGATCACCTGAAGATCATTGCTAACGAACCTGAAACACCGTACAACATCGTCATATGGTACACACGCAAAATCGTGGTTTTTGTCTATCAGATGATAGTTCCATACCGACCTTGCGCTAGTATCCCTGGGCCCTTCCTCAATTTGCAGACCACCCTAACAACAGTCCAACATCACCACCAGACTTGCCTTGAAAAAGGCTTGTGAAATAACAACCTTGTAACCGGTAACGACCAATCACCTGATGGGCCACCATTTTGTATACAACACCGTATTTTGAGCTGCTGTTTTGAACAAAACCCTACCAGCAAAGCATTGCATGTAATAAACTTATGGACAAACCTTTGACTGTCAGTTGGACGTTTTTCGTCACGGAACCCAATTCGTTGACTGCCTCAATGGTGATGGTACCTTCGTCTGACTCGTTGACGCTGCATATGGTCAGCTGAGAAGTCTCGCTGGTGGTTCGGATGCGCACTCGGCCATCGCTGACCATTTCCCGTCCGTTTCGGTACCATCTGACCGTCGGTTTCGGTTGACCTTTGAATCCGACACTCAGGCATATGGCTTCATTCTCGACGGCGACCACATTTTCCATGGTGGTCGTAAAGAACGGTGAACAAGTTTCTGAAGTACAAGTCGAACAGTAGGAAAAAGTAGTTTACGCTTAAGTCGCCCAAGACCTACCGACAGTTTTGGCAATCACCACTTGCTCCGATACGTCACTACATTCGCTCATGCCTGCTTGGTTCTCAGCGGAAACTCGAAATTCGTACACGTGGTCCATGACCAGATTTTTGATCACATAATGACCCTCGGCGTTCCACTTACCCGAAGCCACAAGCCAACCTTTGTTAGACGATACGTCGTGCTTCTCGATAGTGTAGTCGACGATGGCTGAACCTCCGTCGGTCTTTGGAGCTTCAAAACTGATCGTGACGCTGTCTTCCTCAACCGATTGAATCATAGGACGACCTGGTTTTCCGGGTTTTTCTGAATCATACGTAAAAAATATGGGAATATTTCTCACCATTACGTGTCAATAAGTACCTCTGCTTCGTTTGATTACCACTGGTTCGGCTACCTGTGTGCTTTCGCTGACTCCGATGCTGTTCACCGCATTAACACGGAACAAATACTTCACGTTCCGTTTCAAATTGGTTACCGTGTATTCTTGTACGAATTCTAAACGGAAATTAATGTGAGCAACGGAAGTAGGTATCTACGACCTTCTAATGCACATATTTTAACTTAGGGAAATCTTGCCAATATCTAACATACCTCAGTCTGGAGTTCTTACCTAGTTCATATAGCACACGATGAAAGGACTTAATCCATTGTGAAACTTAGACCCTATCCTTTTCATTCCGCTGGGTTTGAAACGATCCCGGAAGCTGCATAGCCATTTCTCCAGGATCGAATAAGTGCGTGCTCACTCTTCAATCCTTTCTGACAATTCTGACCAGAACTTTCCATCTTTCGGGAAGTCTTCTGATGGCCATTTGCTATCGAAGATGGATGTTTACTCAACTGGAGTTTGTTGACTTGCTGCTTGCTGCAAATGCCAGTGCATAACCTCTCTTGACTCCTACCGTCACTCGTTTTCCTGCGACCAATATACTCCAAAGATAAGGTGCGTTTTAAGGCAATTTCAGTGTCAAGGGTTAAAACGGTGTTTGGTCTGGGTTCTATCAATTTTAATCCATTTCACCCTCTTTAAGATAATGTCGAGACCCTGATCAGAATACCTTTATCCTAGAGATAAGAACAATGATATCGCAGCCTTGAAGTTGTCTGTTAGCAACAAAATATCATCCACACTCACAGTCGTTAGAATTTATGCAGATGCTGTCCATCTTGCCGCAATCGTACATTTATTGCTTAGTATTAATTGCAGCACACGGTCAAGAAAATTTTAAACACGACAGGAGACTCCACTGCGCACTGCCTTTCTCCTGAGCAATAGAAAATTCTAACAAGCTCTGATCTAATAATGTAAATTATGATAACTAGACCGTCTCAGAGATCATCGGCCGGTGAAGGTAGCATATTTTAACGGTTTTGAATAAATCCGCCATCGGTGAAAAGGTTTAACACATTCCAGATGACATCTCCGCTGCTGGTGCTCTAAGTTCTGTGACTGTGTATACGATACGGTCACGATCAAATGCAACATTATGGACAATTCGTATACTCCGTATGTACCAAGGGCTCAAAATCCGTAGCCGGCCTGAACCCCGTCACGATTTTCATCCGAAACCATCAAAGCTCCGGTGCTTGTACGGATCAATCATTCGTCAGACCGCGCTTTTAAGATACCCCAAATGACAGTTCACTCATCGTTTAGTACCCGTGTTTGCGAAACTCTCATACAGATACGGCATTTAAGATAGTTCCTGTATTTGCCACATATATGCCGTGTGGCATGTCGGACAACGTACTTGTCATCAATTTTCTATGCATTTATGTTTATTTCATTTTTAGCGTTATTTTTTTGTTATTGAGAGTACAGCCCC